CATGTTAAAAAATGCAGTCCTCTTCGCAAAAGAGTAGGGGATTATCTACCAGTGTACTGCCCAATCACCACCAGAAAGACTCCACTGTAAATAAGTCTTCTTCAGACTTTCATGGGTTATCCTTGGTGTTTACACCGAATAAATCCATACATAGATCATTGTTAATGTAAAATAAATCAACCAATAATAAATTCAATTTTTTTTTTTAGATTTAGCACTGCATAACAAGCTTCTCAGTTCAGTGAACCGAAGCTCATGTTTCTACATTTATCATATTGATGTCTCAATTTATTTGAAAAATTGATGATTCTTTAATCTGTTATAGTTGGTACTCCATGGTAATTAATTATATTAAATAATTAATCCTACAAAGAGAAATTCAAAATAGAAGCAAGATTTTAAATAAGTACTGTATACAGTACTGAACATGCACTGTATCTTACACCAAAGTGACAAGAAAATCTAACATTATTTATTGAAGTAGAACTTTGGATTAAGCAAGCAAAGCTTGGCTTAGTTCGGTCATGTTAAGTGACATTAAAGCAGTTCATTGGCCGGTTGACAAAGCTGTATAGCACATTCAATTACAGTCCCAGACTGGCTACATCATCCATGGGTAAACTTCTTCCTCCCAACGGATTACGGAAAAGGTCTCAACATTAAATAACTTACTAAAAGAACATTTTCTAAACTAGAAATTGCAAATTGCAAGTGAAGTCCTGCGAAGTACAACTGCATAAAATGTTCTTCGAACAAAATTATTTATGCGAGTCAAGTGAAAATAATGAATAATAAAAATATAACAAATAATATGAGCACGACCCATTGTCTATATTAGAACGGCGTTGGTACCATTTACAATAGCATTTTGCTGCAGTGACATCTCTCTGCTGGCGACTCGTTGCTGCTGGCGATGACTTGCTGCTGGCCAATCGATCTGCGCGTGTGTATAAAATGGTATTTATTTCCGAAAACACTATGCCAGTCTACAACAAGCGTCGCCTAAATGTAATAATTAGCACATTGAAATAGGATAGTAAATAAGTTTAACTGGGTTCGTAAATAATATTGGCCTTAAAATATTGTGGCTGAGACATGAGCCGATTAAACGTAGAAATAGGAAACCTAGAAATATAGTAAAAACGCTGAATAGTACTCTAGCGTCGCGACATGCCGACGTTGGTACGAGTAGGTTAGTCTACAAACGTCGCCTAAAGTAATTGATTTTACCCCGCAGAACGAAAGAAGGAAACTCCGCTTTTCAGTTGTCTTATAGGCCCTCGTTTTTCGACAAACAATGACCTTTCAGAGGTCAAATTGCTGTCAAGAATATGAATTGGCTGCTTCGCAGCAAAAAGGCTAGTTAGCAGCCTGATACATTGTGTTGTAGATTATAGCATGATTGAATAATTGTCATTTTTTCATAGACAGCAAAATATGTGCTTTTCTTAATACAATTCAAGGGATATTTACACAAGCTTAAATACGTGAAAAAATTACAGATTTGTTATTGTCTAATGTTAAAAATTAAATAACACTGACATGTTTGGGAACATCTATTTAAGTTGGGTAATTTATTTGCTACTTTTACAGTCACATCTCCCAATTATGTACCCTTTTGCCCAGAGTTCATAAATGAGAAAATTTGTAATTCAGAGAGTTCAAATTTTTAAAGTATCTCAGTATTAAAGGTAGAGTGTCAGTAGGCCTATTGTAGCAGTATGTTACATAAATACGCAGTGCTAGGGAAAACAATAGTCTGTAATGACATCATCGCCTTAAACTACCTTTATAAATTAGGGTTAGGCAGGCCCTCCCTAACTTTACCAAATTTATTTTTAAAATGTAGAAAAAAAGAAAATTGATATTAAAATTTCTGAGAGTGGCATTTCTGGCCATCTAAGTGAGTGGTCTGGACTGTGGACGTTCCATTTTGTGCCCCTCTATTTCAAATTCCTGGATCTGCCAATGAAAAGAGAGTTCATATTGGGATGTTGCAATTGTCTTTAATTTAAATATTATTAGGATCAAATAAAATTAATTAGATATATAGTACTGTAACTGCTTAAGAATATCAAATGATTCACCAATCTCACAACTATTAAATTTGTTCAATACGGTTTTTTCCCCTTGATATTTTCAATGTAATAAAAAATGTAAAAACAATTTTTAAAAGTCGGCCATTATCATTAGAGAAGTCGAAGAAACGAAGCAGATCTGTATTAAATTATTATGGGAGAATTGGAATCGTTTTAAAGGTCTGTCCACAGTATTATACAGTATTTCATGTGACAAATAGGTCACACTTGTTTTTATTTCAACAATAAATTTCAGATAAGATTCAGGGAACATCTCAACACTTACCAACCGAAACCACTTTTAATTTCTCTATACACTTTTAAGAAACCTATCTCAAGGTTCACACCATTCAGGTCTTTTTTTTTTTGCTTTTTCATGAATTAGAAGGGAGTGAAGACACTATAGAATGAGATATTAATGGCGTGCACATAGAGTACTACATAGCTATATCACGACACCAAGTGATACTATTCCGTTGCTGTCACTTCAACGACCAAAAATGCACTAAATTGGATCCATGTCTCCACTAACAAACCATTAGATCCCAATTTCTAACTTAATTATAATGATGTTATACATGTTAATTTTTCTTTGTAAGTTCGATAACTAATATATGGTCAGTTTTTTTAGTACATATTGACAGTTAACTTATTAGGTTTTAAAATGCCTATTCCAGAAATCCTGTTCTAAACCATTAAGATTATGAAGTCATTCAGCCGTAATGACCGCTTGGCCAACGTCTGGTTGACAGCAAAGGGCACTACCTGGTGTTGTGCTGACACTTGCATGGTACTCAATACCACAGATTTTTAGTATGTCAGTAAAAGTTTTTACATGTGCGTGATACTATTATTTTGGGATTGATGGACAATTATGTCTGCAACTTTAAAGTTTGCTGTTGTTATGAGAGTATTTTCACAGGTACAAAATGTAAGTAAAGCCTTGAAGACATTGGCATCATTATTTCCCTGGGGACCAGACAGTGAGTTGGCAAACCGGCCCATTTACTGGAACTTTCTCTGCTCCCTGGGGAGTACCCCTAGTCATGCTGCATTACAAGCACAACCCATACATTAAATGCCATACCATCCCACCAGGTACCCATTTATACTCCTGGGTGGAGTCCCACAATCTGTTCAAATTCCCCAACGATTTGTGGTTTATCTCCCCAGTCCCACCGGTTCCAATTTGGATGCATTATTGCTGTGTGTCCGTTGGATTCTTGTAGATGGAGGTGGTGATCATATACAGTAAGTAAAAATTAACTAGAAACTGACTTGTTGCTAAGCATAATTCTGGCGATCTTTACCCTGACTGGCCTCACCACTTACTATAGTGTTATACTCAACTTGAGGCAGTTAATGACTGGTGAAGTGGGTCAAAATCATGTCATATGGTAATTGACTAGCTACTTCACTAGTGCAATAATAACATAAAACCGCACAATACAACTACAGTATGTTCTATACTGTAAAGTCAATAAAATAACGTCTTCTTTCAGTGGGTTTTGCATACAGCTACAGTTATAGTTACTGTACTATAAAAAATTATAAAAATACAACATAGTTGAAGGTGAGGTAGTGAATTTTACTTCCCGATGTGTGTGGAGTTAAGATTGGTACTACTCTCGATGTGAATTGGAGAGTGGTACTCTAGTCCTAGTCCCCCAACAACAAAGAAAGTAGAATACTGTACACTGCTTTAGCGAGCTAAAACCATGTTGTATTTGTTTTATATGCCTCATTAAAAAACAGCAAGCCATCCATCTATATTAGCCATTTCGATCTGTGAGGGTAAAATTAGGCAGTTTGCATACAGTTCATGTACTGTAGTCTTTTTTCCTCGCTATGCGTAAATTTGGCACGTGTCAGGGAAGCAGGAGAAAATGCTTACTGACTAGAATTGACAAATGAAATGTTGTTATATCCTAATTAATATTCGAGGTATAGATTACAGTATCAACCGTATTTTCAATATGAACTTTTATATCATTATTATTTAATGAGCACTGTCTGTGTAAGCTGGTCTCACTTGGAACAATTGTATCAATACCCTAGAGAATGTCAAATTTAACACCTCTGCCAACTACAATACACTCTAATTTCTGTGTGTAGCTGCACCCAAAATTACAATACATAAAAGTATTCTTGGCATTGTATGAACATGAATTATTTTAAAAGATAGTATAATACATACTCCAAGTATCGAAATGCACACCATCTTGTCGGGATTCAATATTCCGACATTAATTATGTCATCATCAAAATTTTAACAGCTTTTTGTATATATTAATTAGGCCAAAAACACAATGAAAGAATAACTTTATCTAAAAAACATATTGTAATAGCATTATAAAAAAGTATACTGTACTACTGGTTGTAGAAATAAATGAAATAAATCCTGTCAGATTTCCTCAGCCCCACCGGAGGCTTAGCTTAATTATGACCACTTTGCGGTAATGTCTATAAACTTTTAAAAAGATTTTAAGAAAATATAAACATTTTATTGATGAATGTAAACAGTAATGGAATTGATGAATGCATTAAATGATTATAAAGAAAGCATTTACATATCTTATTTAGGGAGATTTCAAGGAGGCAACGGACATACTAATATAAATACAATAACAATACTTTTTTCTGAAATTTCCATTTTTTGTGTCTGTGGGTGCGCTGTCAAAAAACACCAAGCCTTCCTGTCCTCTGTGGCTGTTACAGTCAAAAAAGGCTAACATGTTTCTAGCCCTCCTGAAAAAAACACAATCAACAAAAGCTAGCAGCGTCTCTTCAGACTTCTTGTGATCGGATCAGCCGAATGAACGGGACGGTTAGGAAGTTTCCCAAGCTAGGCTAGAGGCCTGGCTAGCCTAGCCTAGATCATTTGATAGTGAAGTTCGGAAACAAGTTCTTGTTACGTCTTACCTGTTTATCGGCTGAACAACTTGCTTCCATTTTCTGTCGTTTAGCTACAGGACTCTCAGAACTCATAACTATCACAAATTGAACTTATAAATAAACGCGGTAATATTAATACAAAATGTCAACAACGTCTGTCAATAGACCTGTTCTCTACGTTGTATTGTGTGTATAATAGCAAATAATAGCGACACGTAACAGTGTATGCATGTGTATCCCTTTGGCGTTTGGCTTTCGGAATTAGCGCCCTCTATAAATAAGTAAAATACTTGGCATGGTTGGTGGAATAATAATTTATAATAATAAATAATCATTTTTGCCATGATCGTATAAGGGAAATTTTACAAAACTCAATAAACCATTACTATGGAGAAAAAGTGGATCTGCCCCCAAGAACATATAAAAGTTTGTACTCATTGTTACTATGGCGAATATTCCCCATAGTCATGATCATTGTCAAATCATTCTGACTCTTGATTTTCCCCTATAGAAAAATTAAGACATTACGATAAATAATAAATAATATCTTCCAGCTTTCCACAGCTACTTACAATCTAGAGACAGAGTATTAAGAACGAGCTTGAAATTTAAGATGAAACCATTAAAATTTATTTTCTGGTGATTTTCAAGCAAAGTTTAGATTTTATATTTGAATCATCCTGTCAGTGTTGCAGGATTTTTTTCTCACGACCAAAAACAACACTCCCTAAATCTCATATTGATTTAGTTTGTGTAAAGCATCGTACTTAATTGTGTGTATGTTAATTGTCTTGTGTAAGGGATTGTCACCTACAAGTAGCACAGTGATATATTCGCTGTTGACAATCCTTGGCACATGTATTGTGTGCCAAAATAAATAAGAGAAAAGAAAAGAAAGAATTATTAGTAATACAGGTCTCCTAATACAGGTCTTCTAATTAAATACCCCTCTAGTTAAAAACCACCTCCAATTAAAGGCCACTTTTCTGAAGGAGAGCTTGTTTGATTAATACAGGTAATAAGTTTAGGCCGCGACACATCCGAAATAGAAGTACCGGTATTTGCGCCAGGCGCAGAAACTCCGATTTTGGAGTTTTCGAGTATAGTACGCAAAAACTCCGAATACTGTAGATGGGAGGGTTGATTAAAAGCTGTTTGCTCTCTATTTCTAAGTAAGTACATACAGTACTTCTTATTCCGCTATTCCAGAGCCTTTAATAAGCCGTATCTCCATACACTGCCCTGCGTTTATAAGACTAGGCCTATGCCTAGGTGCTTACCCTGCCTGTCAATCTGATAGCAGCAATGATTTATTAAATTAATGAAAACATCCTTACATCTACGTCCCAACCGAAAGATCCCCTGGACTTCCGAAAGGACATTCACCTTTTCAAGAAAATCTTTTACTGAAAAAGCAATAACTTGAAAATTCTAGATAAGGCCTATAGGCCTACAAGGTCATGGATATTCCTCTGTAAGGCGCTAGGCATTATAATTAAGTTTTGCTAGTAAAATGCATGCATTAGATCAGGTCTAATGATATAAGCTAAAAAATATCTTTACCAGGACTTCAGAGATTAACATTTTAATACATTTCAAAATGAGGTTAAAAAGTAAATCAATTTTAATTTTATAATCCAGACCGTCTATCCTCCGACATTGTCCGATCTTTACTTCACTTGAGACATTATTGCATTAACATTTATAAAAGATTTTTACAAAATATGTCTGATCTGATTTACGAATTTCTGAGGTCTATTTATTATTTCTTCGAAGGTACTTAAATGTAGTACACTGCAAAATGTACCGGTATTAAACAATATCAGTAACCACTACAGCTATAGACAAAACAACGATGGTTTAGTGTAGTTTAAATAAAATGTTAAATTACTAGTATTTTATTTTATTTTTATTTTTATTATTTTATAATAGTTCGGGCAAACAATACATGAAGAACATAGACCTACATGAAAACATAAAAAAAAAAAAAAACGAAATCAAAAACCAGAAATAAAACCAACTGCCATACCATTGGAAAGACCAAATAGCGCTAGCATAGAAAGGCTTTCCCAACAAAACAATCAAAACGTACAAAGATTAAATTAGCATTTGAGAAAATTAAGAACATTTGAATTTTGAAACAGCGTACAAGTTATGAAACATGTGATAATAATTTCTTTTTAAAACTTTGTGCGTGTTAGGCTTATGTTGTTAAGACGGCTATTCCGCTGAAATATGGCAGATGGGAAAATGATGATTGGTATGCACTGCATTTTGGAACTACTGGGGCGGATTGCTATAAAACGGTCTTAACTGGTAGTCTTAACTCCTCGAATAAAGCCGGCTTTATCACTTAGACGGTCTTACTAAAGTCATTCCTCTAGGACCATTGCTATAAAACAGTCTTTTCTAAGACCGCTTTGAGTATTGAAACGCAAACAAGCACTCCCTGGTAACGTAAGATTGAGGGCGGCGTCATGCGTGCTCGCGCACGCAAATGTATCGAAATGAACGTAAAAACGCTAGACCTATTTTTACCATAGAGCTATTATATCTCTATGATTTTTACAGACGCTGAGAAGTGTGCGGAGTATTCGTCGTTCAATTCTCCGACTTTGACAATCTAGGCCTAGGTCTTGCCATTGCACTGTTGAATTAATCAGCAGAACGCCATGATGAAAATGATTTAAGACCGATTTTAAGCCTCCTCCGAGTAGGCTTTAAAATTTAAGACGGCTAACTGGTTAGACCGCGGTATAGCAATGGTCTATAATCATAGAGCAGTAGTGACGTCACAATTATAGCCGGCTAACCGTTAAAGCCGTCTAAAGACCGCTTATAGCAATCCGCCCATGAACAATGTTACAAGTTTGAGTACCAAACGTCTGGATTCAAGGGTCATAATATTTATTTTCTTACACACTGGATATGAGATTTCCCAATTTTTACAACAGACTTTTAGAGCAAATCTCGGACTAATTGAAGCAGGTCAGTATGAGTATGCATGCTTTCTAATTAAACACAAAACAAATACCAAACTTCTAAACACAGAACAATTCAGGCCCATAAACGTTTATACTTCCTTAAATTCAAAGGACGTACACTCTTTTAAATGTTAATAAATATGTTAAATAACTATTTAGCAACATTTTAATATGAATCATTAATCTCATTCCACAGGTTTTATCTCAATTCCAAAGAATTAGTTTAGCCTAATAAATTTGATATGTATATGGTTTATGTTGTTTGTTGAATGGTTTGAATTTTAATATTACAGCCTAAAATATATATTATGACCAAGACGTTCATAAGTTTATATGTAACTCATTGTTTACTCTGACCAGCAAAACCAAACTTGGTATTATGGGCTTTCACCAGCTATAAATTAAATATGAATAATTGTCTTCTGTGATTGGTTGATTGCCAAACTTGTTAATGGTTGGTGGATATAGTATTCTCCCTGTTTTATAGCATGTATACATATAAATAATCAAATAATGATAAACAGTGCTCAAATAAAGGAAATGACTATATATTATTAGTACAGTACAGGCTAAGTCTGACAAAAATCCTATTTAACCTTAAATAAACTCTAATAAAAGGACTGTTTGCATATTCTTGTAGGCCTATATTTGAAAAGTCATGAACAAATTTTTGCTACCTTTTTATAGTGGCAAAAAAGGTCAATTACCTGTATGCAGCATGTTCCAGGTCACAACTCTTCAACTACTTGCTCTAAAAGCACAAAAATAGTGTCTACACCGAGATTTTTCGGGACAACAATTATGGGAAATTTTTGACGCCTTATAGTAGCTGCGTTGACCAAATATTCAGGGTCAAATGTCAGAATAGCTTTTATATAGCATGTTTCGGGTCATAATTACTTCGTCTCAAAGCACGAAAATTGTGTCTACACTTAGATTGTTGGGATCAACATTTATGGAAACATTTTTACCGCCTTCTAGTAGCGGTGTTGACTAAAAATTTAGGGTCAAAGGTCAGTGACCTTTATACAACTATGATCATCATAACTCCTCAACCAGTTTACATAGATGCACAAAAATAGTGGCTACACCTAGGTTTTTGGGATCAACATTTATTCAAATTTTTTTGCCACCTTCTAGTAGCTGCGTTGACCAAATAATATTCAGGGTCAAAGGTCAATGACCTTTATACAACATATGATGGTCATAACTCCTCAATTATGGGAAATTTTTTGACGCCTTAGAGTAGCTGCGTTGACCAAATATTCAGTGTCAAAGGTCAGTATAGCCTTTATATTTCAAGTTTCGGATCATACATCCTCAACTACTTGGTCTCAAAGCACGAAAAATTGTGTCTACACTTAGATTTTTGGGTTCAACATTTATGGAAACATTTAACCGCCTTCTAGTAGATGCGTTGACTAAATATTTATGGTCAAAGGTCAGTGCCCTTTATACAACTATGATCGTCATAACTCGACCAGTTTGTCTAGATGCACAAAAATAGTGGCTACATCTAGGTTTTTGGGATCAATTTATTAAAGTATTTTTGCCATCTTCTAGTAGCTGCACTGGCTAAATATTCCAGGTCAAAGGTTACTGACCTTTATCCAATATAATATGATGGTCATAACTCCTCAACCACTTGGTCCAGAAGCACAAAAATATTGTCCACAACTATAGTAGGCCTCTTAAGCGAACCAATCCTTCAAATTGTGATAACATTCTGAAACTTGGCACAGTTATTCATTGGGGTATCAACAATATGGAATTGAAGGGTTGCCCAAAATTTGGTCAGGGGAAAGCGGCTATTTTGGATTTCAAAATGGTGGACCCCAAATTTTCACTTTTTAGGTACCGGTATATCTCAGCTGAAAGGACCTAAAGTGTTCTGATTTTGGGGCAAAGTATATGGTATTGGGGTCAACAAACATTGGTATAACTTACATTTCGATTACATGGTGGCCATTTGAAATTCCAAGATGGCTGCCATTAAATTGCATTACAACGCATATCTGAACTTGTAGAGCCTCAATTATGGTGAATGTTTTCGGGTTTATTAAACAAATATATTCAATTACAAATACTGACTGAATAAATGTTGGCTCTTTTGAATTCAAAGATGGCCACCAAATACATGGTTTCAAGGCTTATTCTTTTATAACACCTTTATTAGGCCTACATGCAGTAAATATGGTGTAATTATTGGTCACAAGAAACATTTTGGATACAA